AATAAGAATGCAGCAATTATAGCTAAACTTAAGGGAAATTATATAGTATACTTCTTACTCCAGGGCAGGAAGTCAATGTGATTTACTTTAAAATGCTGAGCATCGCAGCATGATAAATATGGTGAAAAGTTAAGTTAGTTGCACAGTCGTATCCGACTCTCTGTGACTCCATGGACTGCACCTGTCCCGCTCCTCTGTCCATGGAATTCTTCAGGCAGGAGGACTGGATTGGTTGCCATTTTCTTCTCCAAAATATGGTGAAGTATGAAACATTTAAATTGAAAGATTGCATGGTATAGAAAAATATATCTAGGTAAAATATTAACCAACTGTTTATATCTCTTGTATTTTAGCAAAATGAAGTATTTATAAATTGTTTTAACTATAAAACCATGTATATGGAGAGTATCTTGTATTTTCAGAGTGTAAGAAAAAAATGAGAAGTAAAAATTCAAATTGGCACAGTTCATAATTTATTTTGAAGATTTAATTACCAAGTATACTTTTATCTAGTAATAAAAAATATCAGTAACTGTGACATAGTGAGAAAAACAGAAGTGGATCAAGTTGAAAACTCCCTTGAAATGACACAGTTACTCATTCATATTTTCTATTCACTTATATGACCACAGTATATTTGTCTGTAATAATTAATTCTCTCATGTTTCTAAAATCTTAACTTTTTAAAAATAATGTTTGATTATATGATTAATTTTTTAAAACCAAACTTCCAGAATTTATAAATACAAATGAATATTCTCTCCTTTAAAATTACATATTAATTTTAAAAACTGTCATTTCTCAAAACATTTTTTGAAATATTTTGTTTGGAATTGCTTTGTAGTTGTGCTACATCTTTTAAAAACCTCTTTGAAATTAAGGACTTCTTTTTAGGCTGTATTCAGTATGCAACCCCAAGCAATTAATCAGCCCTACCGCAGCAACTAGAAAACACTGATTGAAAACAAAAACCATTCTTTTAAAGACATTGAAGAACTGGGAAATTATCAAGAACTGTATTAACTAAAATTCCTACGAGGAAAGAGCCCTTTCTAGATGAGCTGAGATCACCAGTAATTTTCTTCCCCAGGGGTATTTACTGATTCTGTAACACACTGATAATTAATCCTTGGCACAGGCATTGAGACTCCACTGGGGGAAGGAAACCGTTGGGCAAAGACGTGGACATGTGTGAAGCATTGACGTTTAGCAGGGCTCCAAGCGTATGACTAGTGTCTCACATTCTCTCCAAATGCATGGGGTGTTAGCTGAGTCTTGTTGGGGGGAGGATGCCCGGGAGGACTAGGAAGCGGATTGTTACGAGGCAGTGTCCTGCTAAAGCAGGTCTCAGCCTCAGTGTAAGGGAAGGGATGCATTCAGAGAACTCAGCAAACCCAATCAGATGTGAAAGTGAAAGTCGTTCAGTCATGTCCAACCCTTTGCAACCCCATGGACTACACAGTCCGTGGAATTCTCCAGGCCAGAATACTGGAGTGGGTAGCCTTTCCCTTCTCCAGGGGATCTTCCCAACCCAGGGATCGAACCCAGGTCTCCCACATTGCAGGCAGATTCTTCACCAACTGAGCTATTAGGGAATCTCATATGAATTTCACTTAAACTGCATCTGCAACCCATTTTCAGTTATTGGTTGAAGGAAATCAGACCCCAGTGGTGGAAAGGGCAAACTCTGTAAGGGAAACGCTAATCTCAAGTCTTTCCTGTTCTTTAATGACTGGCATACGGTTAAAAGTTACAAGAAATACAAAGAAATAGGAAAATGACTGATAACCAACAGAGCAAATAGTTAATAGAAGCAAATCACAAGATGATCCACATGTTGTAAGTAAGTAACAGTCAAGGATTTTAACATAATTAATTTAAATGTTTTGATAAAAATGGATGGATTAAGTGGATAAAGAGTCAGAAAATCTCAACAGAGAATTGGAATCTATAATTAAGAAGACTCAAACTTAAACCTTGCTGGTAGGAGTATAAAATGGTACAAACACTTTGAAAAACCACTCAGCAGTTTCTTTTAATCACTGTGACTCAGCGTTTGAACCTCCAGATATATATTCAAGAGAAGTGAGTACGTGTGTCCACCTGGAGATAAGTGCAAGAATGTACATAGTAGCATTCTTCCTAATAGCCTCCAAACTGGCAACAACCCAAATGCCCATCAAAAGGATAAGGGATGTATCAGTGGAGATCTATTCATACAGTGGACAACTACACAGTATTAAATAACTGATACATACAACAGCATGGATGAGTGTCATAGAGATTTTGGTGAGCAAAAAACACGAGACACAAAAGACTGTATACTGTTGATTTCATTTATATGCAATTCACAAGCGGGCCAACTAACTGATAACAAAAATCAGAGTACTGATTACTTCTGGAGAATGAATATTGATTGGTAAGGGGCAAAAGGGAACCTTCTGAGATACTGGGAATGTTTTGTGTCTTCCCTAGGTGGCAATTACATGGATACTTGGATTATATAAGAAATTTAAGATTGGTGTGCTTTTCATATGTATGTTCTATCTCAGTAAAACAGAAAAGAAATGAGCTTAATTTTTATTATTGAATAGACACAAACTGTTCCCAAGAAAGTAGTAATGTAGTCATGCTGGGTGGTGTCATCTTGAGACAGAGTAACTGGATCTATAAATTAACTGCATATTTTTGAGATTCATAACTCAGAGTTTACAAGAATAATTTAAGAGAACACATTAGAATAAGTAGCTTTTCAAGATAGATGCTTTGAAATTTTTATTTTCTAAACTTTATGAATTTCCGTAATTTTATTTACTTTATGGTTATTGCTTTTATCAATAGACTTCTAGCCATATGCACAGAAACTTAAAACTTACAAGTTATGTATATTCACTGTTTTTAAAATTTAGGAAATACAAACAAGAAGAGATCAAACTCACCCATTTAAAAAAATTTTTTTAATGTTGGTAACCTTTGATAATGTGTATATTTTTCTCTCTGCATTTTATGCAAGCATGCATTCAATGGGATCATATTTTGCAGCATGCTTTTTAATTTAATATAGCTATCATTTCATGTCATTAAGTATTTTATAGTATTTTCACAGATGTATAATATGCCATTGTTTGGCTAATGCCATAAATTTATTTAATCCTTTATTGTTGAACATGCAGATTTACATCACCTTTTCATTTCTGTTGTTGGTGTTATTTTAATTTTTCCTTATTTTTATGTTTTTTAAAAACCAATAATGTGCCATTAATTTTCAAAAATTAAGTATATGCCCTGTGACATATATACTATGACATATAATTTTCAAAAATTAAGTATATGTCCTATGACATATACAGGGATTTCTTTTAATTGTTGCTTTTGAATTCTTAAATGCTTGTACTTTTTCTGAAAACAGTATTTGTTTTGATAATATCTGTTGTTTTAAAATGAGGAAACCAAAAACAAAAATTGCTTGTAATCCCAACTTCTAGAGAATACTCACTGCTAACACCTTGATGATAGGCTGTAGAGAAGGATCATGTGTAAAGAAAGACCTGATCAGAGCTGTGCTTTAAAAATCTTATTAATCTGTTAGTTCTATGCAAGGTAGGACCATTTAGGAGATTATTTTAGTAGTTTTGGTGGGGTCAACAGTCAGGATGATGACATAAGAATAGAGAAGAGATGGCTAATAAGAGATATAAGCCTAGAATGCATACCACTGATAGTTCCTTGAGAAAGGTAGCTGTTGAATTGTGAGCCTGTGAATTGTAAGAAATAGGATAAGATTAAAAGATCATTGAATTACAAGCAGCAGTGGATGGAAGGAGACCCAGGATCCTGAAAACTGCAGGTAGCTTTCAGTGGTGATTCTCAAACTTTGTGGAAGAGAATTGTGTCCTGATGTTTATAGTAATCTACATTCATTCAAGAAAGACATCCCTGTGCAAATTTATTTCCTATCCCACAGTTGTGATACATTGACACAATTTCTGGCTATAAATAACAGTCACCTCCACGTTCCCACATCTACTTATCTAAGCCTTTTAACTTCCAACATGGTCTTTTTTGAAGGTCAGATCATTAAGGTCACAGGCTATTTCTTATTGTTAACATAGGAATTCTTTTCTTAATGCTTCTAATGTCACTATCAAGGTAAACCACTGACATAGTCTTTACTATATTTACTCTTTTTGACAGATTTTCTTTTCAATCTATTTATGGATCCTTTTTCACATAGAGGAACACTGCCCATAGCTATAGGATTGTAACTGTTCAAATACATTGTTCTGCATTTGGAATCCTACTTGGCCAGCAAAGATTTTGCTGTGAACTAGAATGGGATGCCTCAGAATATGTAAAGTGTAAAAATATGTATAAATTATTGTTAAGGAATATACAGAAAAACTAGTAGAAAGTGAAAGTTTTTGACCTTCTCTGACAAAAATTTGTTAAGAGAAGGCTTTAGATGGGAAAGGAAGCAATGGACCAAAAATCAGGAGACAGCATACAGTCACTTAACTGCTGAGTATAAATCAATGTAGTAGTAGAATGTATATAAATTTAGTATATAACTGTTTGGTATTTATTAGGGTGTTAAATGTGCTAATTTGCTGTCTTTCATGGCCATGTTGGTACAAGCTTAGTTTTTCTGTCTTCAGCAAATCTTTTGAGTCTCAGTTGGTCTGTCTGAAAAATGAGAGTAATCCACCTTGTTGTGTTATTTCAGAAGTTACAAATATCTTAACTATTCCGTGTATACTGTACGGAGACTACTTGTAATCACCATCATCACAAAGTATCACTGTTGTTGTTGGGCTGTAATTTATTATTTATAATTAGTAATAGGTAATATATGTAAAGTACTTTGCATTTTATATGTTTTCAGATAGATCTGAAATAACTTTTTTCCCCCAGCAGACCTAAATGCCAAGAAAGTTAAAATCATATCTTCAAAAAGTCATTTAGAATTTCGTCATATTGAGATACTGTGTTCTTTTTTACAGGAAGTACTTAAACAACTACAAGGAAGTATTGAAGATGAAGCTATGGCTTCTTCTGGACAGATTGATTTATTAGAGCGTCTTAAAGGTAAATTTTTTAAAAGTGTTTTAAAGTAATTTTTTTTAAGCTCCAGTTGTCAGCTTTAGGTGTATGTGTCCAAATACAGCTTCTCTTGATTAGAATGTTGGTGTTGGATTTTCTTAGCCTCATGCATTAGGATGTAATTTTTAAAGTACAAATACGTAAAAAGTCTATTTGCTTGTCATTTTTTCAGTTAAAACATTTAACTGCCTTTAAATAAACTATTTTAGTTACCTTTCTTGACAATTTTCAGCTCTTTCTAAAACTCATTGCTCTTCTGCCAGTCATTAAGTAGGCCTTTATTAAGCTTTATGCTATAGACTGGACCCATTGCTTCATTTGAAGGAGTCAGTGCCCTTCTTTGTTCCATTCAGAATAGAAGTGCTTTATCTTTGCACATATATACACACACATATATACACACAACACTGATTTTAAGCCATTTTTAATAGAATTTTAAAAGAATATCTTTCTTGTTTTATCACTTAAAAATTCAAATGTCAAATCAGTAAGTTTTAATTGTAATTGAAGATGGGCAGAGAAATTACTTTTGGATCCCCAAATATATTATTACTTAGTAGGAATCTAAGAAAGCACATTCTGTCTAATTTTTCTTCAACATACTTTTTCCCCACCAGATTGACTCAAGCTATCTTGGAGGGAAAGTTTAGCTATTCTGTTCATAAATAATTGTTCATTCACTCATATACATTTGTGGCTCTCTCTGATAGAAATCTATAGTTGCAGGCCTCTAAACCGAGCGGTGGGCGCTTTTTTTTTTTACTGCGGTCTTCTTTGTTTCTGTTGCCGGTTTGTCTCCTTCGGTACTGTCCTGTTTTGTCGGTTCTTTGGGCTGGTGTTTTTTTTTTTCTTTTTTTTTTTTTTTTGGGGGCGTTTGTGTTTTGTCCGTGGTTGTGTGTGCGTTTTTCTGGTCTTGCGGGTCTGGGGTTAGGCTTTGTTGTGTGCCTGTTTCTATGTTCTGTTGTTTAAGTGCGTTGATTTTGTGCTGCTGGATACTTTGTGTGGTTTGTATATAATGTCTTTCAGTTATTTCCTGTTTTCTTATTTGAGTGGTAACTGTGGCCTTTAGTTTTCATTATTTACTTATACTATTGTACGTAAGTATTGTTTTTGATGCTTTGGCTTCTTTTTTTTATATTGATTTCTTTGTGTTTTTTTTAGAACTTAACTTGGATAGCAGTAATTTCCCTGGAGTGAAACTACGGTCCAAAATGTCCCTCTGTTCTTACGGAAGCCGAGAAGGATCTGTATCTAGTCGCTCAGGAGAGTGCAGTCCTGTTCCTATGGGTTCATTTCCACGAAGAGGGTTTGTAAATGGAAGCAGAGAAAATACCGGTTATTTAGAAGAACTTGAAAAAGAGAGGTAACATTTCTTCATTAAGTAGTAAACTTTTATGCTCCAGTTTTTGCTAGATTTTGTCGTTTTGTGGCAATACAGAATAGGAGTTATGAAGCGTGTGTTGGGGGATCACAAGCAGCACTTAGAGAACATTTCCCATTCATTGTCTCAGAGTAATGAATTACTGGGCGTCCTTACCTTACACCTGAAAACGTGAAGGAGGCAGCTTCTTGGGACTCCAGTGCTCAGATGGAGCACTTCTGTACAGTGAATAATGTACGAATAGTATGCATAATCACAGTGGCTAAAATATGTAATGCGTTTTGATTGACTTTTTGGTTATCTTTTCAAATGAATTAAAGGACTACCAGATTCAGTATAAGGTGACTGGTTTCCATTATTAAAGACCTATTTCAAGGGGTCACAAAAGAAACAATTTATCAGTTTCGGTTTCTTAAAAAAATGTTGCCTGATAGAGAATCAGTTCTCCTTTCTAAGAGCTAGTGTGTTAATTCTTTTCTTCTTGAAGTTAAAATCATCACACTACAAGTATCAGAATATATAGTTACCAAGCACTTGGTCAAGTATTTTTGTACGTCCTATAAGATTATAAATTCCTTTTGCATGATTAATACCATATTATATTTATATTCCTAAAAGTTCTATTAGACTTTCAAGAAATACTCAAATGTATAAATGTTAATTTGCATAAATGTCCAAATGTATAAATTCTCTGGGACTTTGGTCAAGTCTTTAAATTTTTGTGTCATTTCCTTCTGTAAAATAGGAATATGGTTCTACCTTGTGGAGTTATGAACAATGGATATTAATATATGGAAAATACCCAGCATATCTCATTGAGAGGCAAAAGACCTTTTACTACTTTCTCTCTGGTTTTAGATGTGTACATCTCTAAAAATAACAATAATCATGGGCCAGAAATAGTGTTAAGCTTTCTTTAATCTCTTGAGTTTCAGTGAATCTCTGTTGCATATCTTGAACCAGGACTCTTTCTGAGAGTCTAGGAAACAGTGTCCTGAAAAATCAGAAGCTAACTGGAGTGTACATTCTTCCATCGCTTTGTCCACTTTGAACTCTGTCAAGAGGCATGTGAGCATGCCAGTTTTCCTAAGAACTTACTTTGCTTTATGTGATAAAGGCCTGATTTTATTCACAAAGAGTGTGTGTGTATGTAGTTGTCAGTACCCTGTGTCCTCCTGGCTCCCACCGTTGTTTGAAGGTAGATTTAGCTCTTGTTTATGGGACAAAATCTGTGTTTTGCTCTCGTACTTGAATGAAAGCTTGACTAGGTCTAGGCTCAAACTCATTTTCCTTCTTTATAATCAGTGTCACTGATGAGAAACTGCATATCAGTCTAATTCACGTTCCTTTGCAGGAAGCCGTTTTTCTGAAGGTTTTAGACTACCTTGATAGGTGTTTCTTGATTCATCATACCAGATACTACTCACTGTGCCCTTTTGATCTGTAAATTTATTTTCTTCAACTTTTGAAAATTCTGTTATTTCTTTGATGATCTTACCCCCTCTGTTTTTCTGTTCTTTCTTTCTAGACATCCCTTAAGTCAGAGAACTATCTCTGTATCTTTTTTTTCTTGTTCTCTGTATTACCTATAGATACAGTAAGTTTAAGTGAGGTAAGTGTTAGAAAACACTCAAGCCAGAACTCAAGCCCAGATGCATACCCTTTTTCTTTTCTTAATTTATTTTTGTTTTTGACTGTGTTGGGTATTCCTTGCTGCACAGGTGCTTTCTCTAGTTGCAGAGAATGGGGTCTTGTTCTGCCACACGGGCTGTAGGGAGCACAGGATTCAGTGGTTGTGACGCGTGGGCTTAGTTACCCTCTGGGCATGTGGGATCTTCCAGGACCGGGGGTCAGACCTGAGTCCCTGCTCTGGCAGGAGGATTCTTAACCGCTCTGCCGCCAGGGAAGCTCCATGACCTTTTTGAACCTCAGTTTTCCAGTTAAAAGATGTTGTGAGGATGAAATCAGATATTTTTTAAAAACTCCTTAGTACTCTTATGTCTGGTACACCCAAATAGTTATTGTCATATTAGCCAGTAATACTTTTTAACAAAATGCTTGATACATGTACCATGTTCTTCTAGATGATCCTGAGTTAGCTAGAGGACTAAGAAGACATGAAATTTATGTCAGATCAGTTTATTTATCTTCCTTGGTTCTTGTCTCATCACAGCAAAAATTTGGAGCAATGGACCAAAAGGGAGCATCAGGCAAGTTACAGCTCAGTTCAGCTGGAGCAGACAGACCTGTGATTAGTGAGGTGCTCCCAACGGAGCCCTCCTCATCTCTCCTGTGGGTCCCCCTTGGCTCCCCTTTTACATGTCCAGTCTCCTCCTTTCGGATATGCCTGGTGCAGAGTAGGGCTGTACCTGCCACCAGTCAATGAGAGGGATGCAAATGGTCGTACACTCAAGGCCGATTGACAGTTTCAAGTCATGTAACAGCAGGCTGTGTTGTTTATGTCTTCCCATGTGTCTTCCCCGAATTCCGTCTTATAATCAGATGTAGAATATTCATGAGCCCTTAATGGTCCCCTAACTGCCTAAAGTTACTTGGAGAAGCCCCTGTGGTGGTTTTCTGTCCACTGTGTGCCCAGGGCCCCTGTGTTGAAAAGTCTCTGTGGTTATTTTGTAGCATCTGTGAGCTCTCTTGGGTGTGTCTGGGGTGGAGTTCAGAGATCAGTTTGCATCCCTTTCAGCCAGGCCTCCCCTTGTTTATGTCTAACTTCCTAGCTAACATTTACATTTTAAAGAAGACTGTTGACAGTCACTAAATAAGCCTTCAATATGCTAAACAACAAAGACCCACCAGCTTCTGAGTCTGTGCCTTGTTTCAGTTTTGAGCCTTAAATACAGTGATTTGAGTTATAAGATCAGCTCCTATCAGTTAACCACTTGTTATCATGTTGGCTCTTGACTTTGGCTTCCCAAGAGTATTTTGCCAGAGTTCAGTCTTAAAACTTGATAACAACAACTTGGCCCTATTCTCCTTAACATTTTTCTCACTCCAATACCATCACTAAAATTAGCTTATTCATTTGAGCACTTTTAGCACCAGATCTTGATTAAATAGGCAATTTATTGAACATTAATCAGAAGAAATAGCATCTCCCTCTCTCCCTTGTTCCCTTGCCTTGGTCCTAGTGGGTCCTGCAGGTATTCACCAGGGATCATTAGAAAATAGGATCAGATCTCATGTTTTTGCTAGTGGTAATACCCAGCCTGTGGAAGGGGTTCAGGATTTCTGCACTGCTTTCTCCTGCTCCTGTTGTCAAAAATGGAAGGGAGAGGGCAGCTTCTCATTGGTCAGCACCTCTGCCCCAGGTTGGCACATCGTAACCAGGAGCTGTCTTCTTCCCATGAATTCCCCCACTACTGAGGTTGCCACAGCAAAAAGTGAAGGCTTATTCTTATTTTTTAAGTTGCTTCTCAGTAAAGAATGGAAAGTTTAGCAAGAGTAGAACCTTCCACATACATGCATTCTTATTCATCAAGAAAATACAATCAAATAGAATTTTAAGGTATTAATAACAGAGTCAGAGTGGGGAATGACTCGGTAAGAGCAAAGCCCAGAAGCTGTAATAAAAAATATCCTCATATTCAAGTGATTCACTGAGAAAATATATTTATAACTGACAGTACTATCATTCTTAATACAGAAGAGGTCCTATAAATAAGAAAAAGTCACAGAGAAGGAAATAAAAGTGGGTTTTAAACTTGGAAAAATGCTTACCCTTACCTATACTAAAAGAAATCAAAACCATAGTGATAGGGAATTCCCTTTTGGTCCGGTGATTAGGACTCCGCACTTCTAATGCCATGAGCTGGGGTTCCATCCATGGTCTGGAAACTAAGATCCCACAACCTGTGCAGTGTGGCCGAAAACAAGGAAGTCCATAATGATATACCATTTTTTAAACCCTAGAAATGTAAAAGAATCTAAAAAGTTTGATGAAGCATTTATATTGTCAAAGGTGGCAGAAGCATAAATTGGTACAATATCTAGTAAGGACAGTAAGTTAAAAATTTACATATCCTAGGAATTTGTCATCTACACATGCTTGCATATTTGTACAATGAAGTTATATATAAGTATATTCAATGAAGCACTGTTTATAATAGCAAAAGATTAGAAAGACCCTAAATGCCCTCTAACATAGAACCAGTTATTATTTATTCTTTTATGGATTCATAAATATCTTTGCAGCTAGCAAAAAACCACACGGGACCTTTTTATATTCTGATACAAGAATGATCTCCAAGATAGACTTTTAAGTGGTAAAAAGTTATGACAACACAGATAATAATATGCTATTATTTATGTTTTAAAATGTACATGTACATATGCACACATATATTCTTTCATTTTTATAGAATGTCTCTGGAAATAAATGTAAGAGAATAATAGCGGTCGTTTAGGGAAGGAGTCACAAAAAAGGACATAGATCATATACTTCTTGTACCTACTGATTTTTTCCTCTTAACCCTTTATTTTGCATTTATGTTTATATTGATCAGATACGGAGTATTGATATAGAATATTGATATAGGCTGTTATTGAGGACATCATCGATTGGGTTGTCAGAAATTATGTAACAAGTTCATCTTCAGATTCCAAGCCTAAGAAAATGTTTCTGTCCCTCAGAACAATCTCCTGTTATCACACAGTGATAATATATTTCTTATTTTGACTATTAAGAAGCTGAAAGCTATGTGCAATAGTTCCCTATACTCTAAATTTATTTTTTGCGTAATTACTGCTTTTCTTTGCTCCTTTATTATACTTTTTATTCTTATATCTGAGTTTTATTAAATCTGTACTTTTTACTGTATACCAACATCAAATTCTTAGACTCTAAATGTGAAGAAAGCATTTGGTTGAAATGTAAATATTCTAGTAAGAATGGTTGCCATCTTATTTAGCTGAGAAAGTTTAAAACTTAATATTCAAATTTTAATGACTGTAATCTAAGTCCCACCTTCAGAAATCTAAAATTAGTAAAATTCTCACTTATTTATTATATTACTTTAAGTAGAAAACATTACAGTTACAGCTTATGAGAGTTGCTGTTATGTGCTCCATATTAGCATTGTGTAAACTTAACTTTTTTTGAAAAACAGATCATTGCTTCTTGCTGACCTTGACAAAGAAGAAAAGGAAAAAGACTGGTATTATGCTCAACTTCAGAATCTCACTAAAAGAATAGATAGCCTTCCTTTAACTGAAAATGTAAGTAACTTGACAAAATAACTTATTTTTATATCTGAAAGTGTATCCAAGTTTATAACTATATAGTTATTTGTAAACTGTAATGTTTTATCCAACTTCAACATAAATATATAGTCAATGAATTTTGTATATAGAGATGATAAAACTAAAAGATTCAGGATTCAACTAGGTGTTTTATTATTTGACGTGTTGAATTACCAAAGGTACTCTGTAGAAATGTTTATTACCATCTGTCTGTTTTTTGAACTATATTACAGGACTTGTGCCAGATGGTTTTTGCAGTGAAAGTATCTGAGATAACCTTAGTCCTATTCTAGTTATTGTAAATGACAGTAGCTGTTGGCACAGATGTTAGAGCTTTTTACAAGCACTAAAAGTTGTTTGTTTTGCTAATATAACTATGTAAAAAATAACTTAATTCTGTCAGCCTCTCCCTCCCCACCCAAGCTCTCCAAGTCAACTGTTCTATTCATGGGGTAACATGTATAAGATCATTTCTGAAATACATTAATAATTTTAAATAAGACTTTATTTTAACTGTTACAAATAAATTTTAAAACAATATTTTAGAAATAGGCCAATTAAAATTAATCTTCCACTCTTAGCTTTGATTTTTCATTTTCTAATAAAGTTTTGAGAGGACATTATAAAAGAAAAAGTAACAACGAAGGAAAAACCTTTTCCAGAACATGCAGTTAATCACATTCCTGCTTGGGTGGGCATTGTCTGGCGGGAGCTAGAACTAGAAACTTCAGTGCTCAGCCTACTGAGCACAGACTTATCCAGGTTTGTGAGAGGGAAAGAATCTCCCTTCCTGACAATGTCGTTAACATCCTTTTGGGAGCTAAGGAGACACCACAAATGAAAGAACATAGAGAGTGTTGACGTATGAGGATTAGGAACTCAGGAGGGTTTGGAGGGATCGTTGCTTTTATTAAAGCACTGTTTTGCTTAACATTCACTTTGGTAATTAAAATGTACAGTATTTAGAGTCTAGCTGTCTGCATGCAGTTGTGTGTGAAACAGTTCAAGAGCAATTGGTTAATACCTGAAACAAATCAGTTGTCAGCTCATTCCCGTATTAATTTACCATATAGTCAGTCACATTTATTTAAGAGGATATGTAAGACATTGTAGACCATTAGGCAACATTAGCAAATGTAAATTGCTTATATTTCATAAATATTTTTAAATTCACAAAATTTTTATTTTATATTGGGAAGGCAGGTTAAGAATGCTTTCATATGGAAATACTTATCAGGTTACTAGGCATTGCTTAAAACATCAGATATAAACCACGTTATTGTAATATAATGTGTCATCTTCAACCTTTTGTGCAAGGGATTTTTGGAAGTGGAGGACAAATAAGTGTAGTTATAACATGACTCACAGCATGGAGACTATTTCAGCTGTGCTGCAACACATAGCGTGGATATGCCTGTAGGAACGCATTCTGCATGTGTCGTCTGTATACTGCAAGGGAAAAGGGCGAAAGCTCCTCTAACTTACCTGACAACACAGTTTGGGATTCTTAGGCCTACAGAATGCTATTCTGAGTCAGACACATACACATGCAGCTTTTGTCTGTGTGTGTGTGTGTGTGTGTGTGTGTGTGTAGGATCTTAGTTTCTGATCAGGGATCAGACCTTCACCCTTGACAGTGAGTGCGTGGAGTCCTAACCCCTGGACCTCCAGGGAATTGTCCACATGCAGCTTTTTATCGGACTTACAGAGCATAAAAAATCTACAGCACTTCCTTATTCCCTTCATGGTCTGTTATAACTGTCAGCGATTATTTTGTCCAGCTGTTCTTTTAGCCTTGGAGCATGTCTTTGTAAGTTTCTTTGCCCTCTCCTTTTCTTCATTTTTTATACCTAGCAGTTACCACAGCATCTGGAATTGTAGTTAGAGGGCTAATAAAGTTTTGAATGTACTAACACCACTCCATGAAGAAGTACTTTTTTTGGTTTGTTTCAACTTTGGTTCATATTTATATTTTTACCAAAAAGTTTGTGTTATCTTGCAATTTATTATTATATTATATAAAAGCTTTTCTTTATTCTATCTTCTTTATTTTACATGTGGGAAAGTTCTCTCCATTTAGTCTACATGTACATAAGAATCCTGAAGTGAGGTATAAACTTAAGGATGATGGACCTAATTCTTGATTTTTCTATTTTGTACACATTAATATTCTAATTTTTAGCAATTCAAAGTAGTGCTTCTTCAGGGCAAAAGAATTGTAAGGTAACTGAAAATAGGTTTACCTTAACTGGATAAATATATATATTTTAAAGAGCTAGTACAATTTAATTAAAACTGTGACTGTGGGGCAATAAAAGTGTTTCAACTCTTCACTTCACATCAGAAAGCCAGGCTGAGCCTAGCACTGATGATCAAGTTTTAGGACTTCTTAGAGTGAAAAATAATTTTCTTATGATAACTTACGTATTTGTTTATTCATTTTCTTTATGGATACTTATATGCTTTTTTATTTTTACTGATAAACACAAGATATTAACATTTCCATTTTATTTGTGGTTTTAGTTTTCCTTACAAACAGATATGACCAGAAGGCAGTTGGAATACGAGGCAAGGCAAATCAGAGTTGCAATGGAAGAACAACTAGGTACTTGCCAGGATATGGAAAAACGAGCACAGGTAACATATTTATTATTAAACTATGAAACAGTAGTAGCTAGATTTCTATGAAGAATCTAATGCATTACAGCTCTGTTAACTTTGGTTAAGTTTTATTCTTAAAGATATTTTAAAGTCTATCTTTACTTTGGCACTAGTTCAAAATAAGAATAGTTTACTATGGCTGCTGGGAAGCATAACCAGTATTCACATAATTCTGCCTTCATATTTCAATTCTCTGATACTGTTCTGCTATGCCTTGGAATTATAAGAGGGAAGAAGAATTCAATTCTGGTCATCATATTAGTTGCTAGCTAACTTCAGTTATCCTTTGAGATTTTTACTTCTGTGTTTGTGTAATGAAAAAAGGAAAGTCTCATTCAAGGAGAGAAACATATAAAAAGAACCTTGGGAAGAGAAACAAATGGAGAACATTCCCATGTTTCTACCCTCAACTGTGTAAAGAAAGAATATTGGCATAAGAAAGGATTTCTTAAGACATTAGACTAATTATAAAGACTGGTAAAATTCTACTATTTTAAAATTAAGAATTTATCTTTATTAGGTACCTTAAAGAAAATGAAAAGGGGAAAAAGCGTATTTGGGAATTCCCTGTCTGTCCATTGATTTGGACTCAGTGCTGTTACTGCCAGGCCCTGAGTTCAGTCTGTGGTCAGAACTAAGATCCCACAAGCCAAATGGCACGGCCAAAAGAAGAAAAAAAAAAGGTGAAAAGATAAGTTACATATTGGGAGAAGGTATTTATCACCATATAAGTGGTATGGAATCAAGAATATACAATGAATTTCCAAAGATACTTTAAATTATATGATACAATTAATACAGATTTAGTATTTGTAACAGTTGGTGTTTTCATGAAATTATTTTAAAATACCAGGCAGATTTTCTTTGTTTGTTGATAGAAAAACTATGAGAAATTTTACTCTGGTTTATATGAATTTACGTTTTTAGAATGTGAATTTATGGAATACTGTATACATGTTTTTCTGTATCTGTTAATGTGTTTGTTTTTAGAGGTTCTTAAGAAATGAGATGTTGATATGAAAATTTCTGTATTAATGTATAAATATAAATAAGTATATTCCAGACAGCTTACTGTAGAACAGATTAACTTGAGTTCTTTCTTGGCCATTTTGTCCAGATATGTGCAGATGTATTCATTTTAATTTTGTTCTGGAATATAGTGTTCTTTTGCTAGTTAATATTCTAAGTAATTTTTAGTCCATATCTTTTAAATACAGCAAACATTCATTTATTCTGGAAATATATTAAGGTTAGGGCTAAAAAAATATTGTACACAAAGCAAAAATGGAAATATTTGTAGTACATATGAGGAGTTACTATCCCTAATATACAGGGAGCACCTACAAATCAATTGAAAACAAGACAACCAAAGAGGAAAATAATCAGAAGGTATGAGTAGTCCCATCACAAAAGTACAAGTGGTTAATAAATCATTGTTAAAATATACTTAAACGTCACTAGTCATCAGGGAAAAGTAACATACAATAATGTTGTTTTTTGTTAGTGGTGGTGGTTTCTTGTTTGGTTGGTTAATTTTCTGCCTATCAGACTGGCAAAAGCTTTAAAGTTTAGTGTCATGTAATACTGGTGAGATTTTGAGAGATTGTAATACGAAGCATCGTCGTCTGCCTGTTGTAAGAATAAACTGGTACAATCCTGAAGGACTCTGTAGCACTACCTGTCAAAGTTAAAATATTTGTACCCTCTGACATAGTAATTCTGTAAGACTCTCAGAATATGTCCTCCAGGAATGTCAAGTTAAAGAAGCAAGAATATAAGTATAGATTTTATGCTATTCGTCACAACACTGTAAGACAGAGAGAGAGAGACGATTTCAGTGTCCACCATTTGGGTAGTTATTAAATTATTAAATTAGTAGTATACAATTGTTATAAACACTAATAATTAGGTAATGGGAATAATGAAAATAATTGTCCATAGTAATTCTCTCCCTCATAACTCTGCTTGAGTGACTCAACATGTAAGAGTAGAATGGTCAGCTAACGAACATGAAAGTGAATTCCAAGAAGGCCTGAGGCCATGAGAAAAAAATGTGGTACCTCCTTTGCAAGGAAAAGATGGATAAAAATTCCAAGTAAAATAAAAATAGAGTAAAAGTTTTTTAAAAACAATTATGTACCGGAAACAGAAGCCAACATTATATTAGATTGAGAAAATAGAGAAATAATTAGATTATTCCTATTGCAGTCATTAACATGGTTTGCCGCTTGCTCTCATCACTATTACTTAACTTTGTTTGGCGGTTCCACTAATTCAGGTAGAAAGAAAACAAATTGTTTAACTACTGCACTATTTTCCAACTAGAAGGGAAGGGAGCAAATAATTGTCACTTGTAAATTACATTGTTGTCTACCTAGAAAAACCATGGTGAAGAGCCAAAAAGCATTTCAGCTGATGAGAGGACTCAGTAGGGTGGCTGGAGGTAAGATGCATAGGGTTTCTCTGTTAGCAGTGGCTGCCCTTTGGAAATGGAAATGGGGTAGAGTGATCTCTTCATAACGACAGGAAACTTTAAAATACCAAATACAGACCACATGAAGAAAAATATAAAATTGCTGAAGGACACACTGTGGGGCCCTAAGAGTAGAAAAGTCTGTGTGGCTGTCTGCATTGTGTTTGTGTTATCTGGTTGCAGCGACGCCAGGGGTATCGCAGAAGAGGGGCCAACTGAGATTGTCAGGTGCTGCAGGGTGTGGAGGAGTGAAGTGAGCAGTCAGACCACGCTTGCTCTCTGTACATCCTGTGAATGCCTGCTTCCCCTGCACCCTGCATACAAGCCTGACCTTCCCACACACTTGCCCCTGGCCCCAGCTATTGTCTGTGCTGATCACTGGGCCGGTGAAGGGCATTCCCCGTCTGCTGCTTTCCCTGGTAACTGATGAGCCAGCCTGACATCACTGTGTAACTGGCACTCTCCCCTTCCACCCAAGAGGGAAGCCTGCTGCGTGTCCTGCCTGCCATCCGTCACACATGGTAGGGTATCACTCCAGGACTTTGTTTCAGGTGTGTAAGATCCCCCTTCCATTAAACCACTGATGTCTCTGTTGCTAAAAATAAATAAGATCCCTGGGTGAGATTTTAATATCCTAATAATGTCTTTAAAAAGTTGATATAGAAATATAATATGATTCCAGTCATAATCTTAATTTTTTTAGAGCCCGGAAAAATGATTTTTAAGTTTGTCAAGTAAGAATTTCCAAAAGTATTTAAGAAAATTATAATGAGTGAGGATTTACCTTACCATTTGGTAAAATTTACTGTAAAGGTGTTGCAGTAATCACAGTATGATATTAATAGCACAGGAATAGACGTAGGCAAATAGAACAGAATAGAGACTAGAAAAAGAAGTAAGAAAATCTGGAATCTTTTAATGATAGAAGTTGCAAGTTTGGGGCGGGGGGAAATGGTAAATAACTCAGTGAGAACATAGATGATAACTGGGAACCTTTCTGGTGGTGGTTGTTTTTTAGTCACTAAGTCATGTCCGATTCTTTCATGACTCTGTGAACTGTAGGCTGTCAGGCTTCTCTGTCCATGGGATTTCTCAGGCAAGAATGCTGGAATGGGTCACCATTTCCTTCTCCAGGGGATCTTCCTGACCCAGGGATTGAACCCACATCTCCTGCATTGGCAGGCAGATTCTTTACCACTGAGCCACCAGGGAAGCCCTATCTAGTAGTAGAGAAATTAAATTAGATCCCTACCTCACATCTTGTACATGAACAGTTACAGGTGAGTTAAATATCTAAATGTAAAAAATAAAATTAATAGAATAAAATATAGGACAAGAGATATCTTAATTAAGAATGGAAACTCAAAAGCAATAGGAGGGGACAGGATTTATTTTGTAAAATTTTAAAGCATTCATCCTGCAGGAAAAAAAAATACAGGAAACTATTTGTGACACATCAAGGGGGAAAGGTTTAATATCCCTGTACTGTAAGAATTCTACAAACTAAGAAGAAAAGACAACTTTGTTTATATGGGCAGAGGATGTAATCATTCAGTTTATTGAAAAGAAAATGCAGATGACCAATAAAACACATGCAAATGACTGTTGAACAGTTTTAGGGAAACTGAAACAAAATCCACTCTTGCCCATGCCTATTTGAATTAGTCTCTGCCTGTCTCCATTAACAGTTTGGTTATTTATTTATTTATTTGTTTCTTTATTTGTTCAACACAAATTTGGGCTCATAGTATGGTGCTCCCTACTCTCCTCTATGCGTGTAAGAAAAGGTTGGATAAATGCACATCAGCTTATTCATAAGAGCTTTTTCTGGGAGTTGGGGATTGGTAGGACGAACGTTACTTATCCTTCTGTGCTGCTGTAATGTTTTATAAATACATGGATGACACAGTTCTGTGTAGCTTTACCTGTTTTCTGCTTGACATATATTTAGGTGATTTATAATTTCTCACTGTTAAAACAACTCTGATAAACATACTTATCCATATCCTATAAACGTGCACAAAAGTTTTTCTAGGTCAAGAGTCTTTTTCTTAGAGGGCTGTATGGTAAGTAGTTTAGACTTTGTCAGCCATGTGGTCTGTTGCAACTACTCAACTCTGCCTTTGTAGCCAGAAAGCAACCATAGACAACAGTATATGAGCAAATGAGCATGACTGTGTTTCAGTAAAACATGATTCATAAACAGATGACTGGCAAGCTTTAACTTGCTGACCTCTGCTCTGGTACACATACCTGAAAGCATAATTGCTGGTCCTAAGGTAGGAGTGTTCTGAATAGTGTTTGCCAGATTGCACTCAAAATGATTTTATCAGTTTGCGTTCCTCCCAGGAGTATATGAGAATTCTGTTTCCTTTGACTGTTGTTTTCTTTTTTTCCTTCAGAAATTGTGAGTCAAACTTTATAATTAACAATCAATGAGCATATGAAACATTATCTTGTCATTTAGTTTATACTTTCATGAGTGCTACTGAAGTTGAATATC